CGAAAAAGACTGGCTAAACTGATCTCAATAAATATCAAATTTTAATGCAAAAGTGCTTGCTTTTTTTTTTATTTCGCTTATATAAATTTCTTTTTTTTTATTTGAGTATTGAAAACTATTTCTAATACGACTAATACCTTCACGATTGATAAAAACAAGATAATATATATATAACTTATACATAGATATAAAAAAATATGTATAGACTGACAATGCAAAAAGATAAAATGTGATAGGGAATAATAATATGAAAAAAATTTTTCTCGTGAAGTAAAATATAAAGACAAAAAAAAAAATATTCGACAAAATATTTTTATGCAAAGAAAAAATTCGAAGAGTCTATCGGAAGAAAAAGATAAGCAAGGTTAGGGTAGTTTTATTTAACAAAAGTTATGAGTTGTTAGAAAGTTTCCCTAACCAACATACTAAAAAAAATCATATGAAAAAAGAAAATTGTGATATAAGCGAAAAAAGATTAAACTTGAATGAATTTCAAATTTTCTTCAAACAATAAACTATGGGTTGTTTAAGGAAACAAAAAATTTTTAATAAATTTTTAATAAATGCTTGGATTAAGAATGCGTAAGGGATAATAAACTGTCACATGCATATGGAACAAAGATGCGTAGATGCATAATTAATAGGTGTTTAAAGGAAAATTTAGAAACTTAAGAGAATAAATATATCTTATGAATCATTAAATGCATAGTACATATCTAGATATGTGTCTAATCGTGAAATGTAAATTAAATATGCAATATAAGTGAATAGATAAGCTAGCTTCAATGAAAAAACGAATGTTCTAAGTATCCGGAAATCGATAAGACGCGTCACAAATTTCGAAAAATGAATATTGATGAGCGAGGGTAGATATCTAATAAGAAAACGACACGCAAAAAAACAATCTAATTTTTAAGGATAATAATAATGGTTTCGTTTTTCGTGAAAAAAAAGAAAAATTTGCCCGTTCATCATCTAGAATAAACATACTGAAATGTTCATTTCTCTTGAGAATCGATTGTTTTTTTAGTTTTTTTAATTTTTTTTGATTTTTTTTTGATTTTTCCTTTTTTTTTTTTTAAAACATGTCTACCGTTTTTTAGAGCGATTCTTCGAGCCAACGTATCTATTAGTTGACGGAAGGCGTGTAATTTGCTTGGATGTATGCGTCCAGTACCATAATAAATAAGATTGGTAACAACATTAGGACAAAAAAGCATCCAAGGTGCCTTAAGAAAAAAAATCATTACATATAGATACGTTACATTCACATATAATAATGTATATTCAATTTACATATTACACTGAAAGATGTGCTTACTTTGCTCTACTGAATCCGATAAATGCTTGAGATTGATCATACGACGAAACCTTATATAACATTGACAAATTTATTATTTAAAGTGTATAACTTCTTTTTTGTATCTCTAGTTAATGGAATTTACAATTTACCTCGTGTAATTCTTCTTCTAATTCTGCAAACGTTTCGTAGAGTTCTTGTAACTCTTCTTCTTTATACCGCAGCTGTTTCTCTTGTTCTTCAGCCGCCTTTTTTATCTTTTCTATTGCTGATCGAATCATCGCGTTCTTTAAAAAATATATGCGTGTATGAAGAAATTAAAATCAGTTATCGTTATATCAAATTAACGCGTTTTTTTTTGAATATAACCATAATGGTATTTGATAAGCAGATCATTTTTAATCCTTGCATACAATTACGCTGATCACTCCAATTTCAAAACCTTCTAAAAAATAAATAAATAAATAAAATAAAAACCTTTTTCATAAGAGTCTTGACCTCAGCATCATCGCCAGCGTCAGCGTCTAAATCTTCAGCAACGACGGCTGCAGCGGTCTCGATGATTCCATCATCAAAGAAATGAGCATCATCACAAGGTAAACCATCATCCGTTTGGAATATATCCTTTTCAGTTCCTAGAAAAGGAAAGCTCGTAAAACGATGATGGTAAGATGAATGCAATTTGGATGATCCAACACTAAATGAGTGCATAAAAAATTGTGAGCATGCATTGTTTGTAACGAGTGCGGCGATTGTATTGAAAGTAGGAAAAGGCTTTGTTATGTACGTACTTGTAGTCTTCAAAATCTTCAAGAAAAGTTGTTTGAAATTCTTGCAACTTTTCTAGTAACTATTCAAACATTGGGATGCATGCAATTGTAATAAATTAACAAATGTTAAATTATTGGAATTCTGTATTTCAAATTTATGAATGCAAAGAAGAAAGTGTTCGATATTCAAAATTTAAATATCGTCTATTCACCTTTTCTGTTGAATAGGGTTGGTCATTAGTAATAAACTCTATGACATGCAACCCTTTCATGTCAGTAGATGTATCAAAAGCGTTAGAGCTAATTGAAGTTGTCATAATGTATTGGGTTTTTTTTTTATAAAAGATTTTATGAATATTAAATGCTTTATGGTTCAAATTATGGTCCTAATTGTAAGAAACAATATTATAATTTCGTTTCAACAGCGCGTGCTAAGTGTATGAAATAATGTCATAACAAGGTAAATAGAAGAAAAAAAATATGAAAACTGAAAAGAACGCTAGAACGGCGTCTGTCGAAAAGTTTGGAGCTATGAACTTTTCTTCAACCCTTTAAATAGATTTTCAGAACAAGGGGTTCGGTCGTTACGTTATAATGATAGGATAAAGGAAGGCGCGACAGCTAGGCGGAAATCAACGCTGTGCGAGAGTTTTGCAGCGAAGAATAGAAGAAAGACAAGGGGAGAGAGTTTGTATGACAAATGCAACGCCTCCTGTGACGCCTGCAGTATTTAAACTTTGATTTGTTTTTTTAAAGGAATTTTTTTTAACCATGCGAAACCCGGTGGCGGAGTTCATCACGGACGGTATTAGAAATTTCGCATTATCTGTATTTTACGGTATCTGTATTAAATCAGTAACTCTAATTATGAATGATTGTAGACATATTTGGAACTTTTCTCGTTGCTTCCGGCCGAATAGAGTTGATCTTGTTTTATTGCCCGATTCGGGATTCCTAAACAAATGAAAGGGCCCATTGTTTTCGAAACGTTTTCGTATGGTACACGTGGAGTTGTAATCTCATGTCAATCGCTATAACAATACCCATTATTTCGGTACACCAATCGGTATGCGATCATGTGAGAACAACATTAAGAGTCGGTGAAATTTTATATAAATACTACCTTGAACCGTCAATGTTAATGCCTGATACGGTACGTACCTTTTTTTTTTTTTTATTTGCTTATTTTCACCATCCAAACATACCCATTTGTATTAACAATAGCTATCGACGTAAAAAAAAAAAAAAAAAAAAAAAAAGGAAAAAATTTTTTTTTAAAAAAATTTAAAAAAAAATTTATGGAGTCTACATTATCTATTGAAGATGAAAAAGACAAAGTAACTAAACAAGCTCATAAAACGAATATTACAAAACTTCTCAAGTCTTATGACTTGTTCAAAGTTAAGGTTAAATTCGGGTTCGAGAAAGAAATTAAAGATACTTTGGAGAAGAAAAGTAGTAATATCAAAGCATATTTAGGAAAGTTTTCTCGTTCAGGTAAACATGGTAAACAAAAAGTTTCGGAAAAGGAAAGCATGCAGACAATCATTCATTCAACTTCAAACCCACAACAGCCCACCATTAATCATTTTCCAAAAACTAACAAGGTTAAATTTGTGGCTAACTGCGGCCAATAATTGCTAACAATACTTTCTTTGGTCTATATTATCTGTATAAATCTAATAATTGATTTTTTCGATTTTTTTTTTTGTTTGTTTTTTTTTTTTTTTTTTTTACTAGGTTCCACAAATAAACCATAATAATGTTGGAACACAAGAAGTCCTCCTCCAAGTGCAAGAGATGCATCAACTTGTCAATCATTTATGGCATTTACTAAAACTATATAGGCAAAACTTTCCTAATTCTGCGGATAATCTTTTATTCATTCATTCCCAATTGTCTGCTCTTGAAATATCAAGAGATAATACGATGCATAAGGCAAAAATTGCATCAAGAAATGTTATTAGTGACTTGCAGTTTTATTTTAAACCATTAGACGATTTATCCCAAGGATTTACTTGCTACCTTTGGGAATTGACCAGGAATATCTTTAATCTAGCAAGTAACGGTCATGCGAAAACAGTAATCAAATGTTTGTCTAGAATAATTTGGTTAGAAGAGGAAATAGATGCTCAAAAAAACGAAGCACGCATTGTTAAATCGTACAAAAACAAGTTTTTTAGTAATTTGAGCAGCATTATTTTGGAAAGATTTGAGCTTTTTTTGAGCAAAGCTAAAGACGCCCCATTGACATTATTAGACAAATTAGACTTTATATATAACGATTTAAGCTTAGTAAAAGATGAAATCGAACCACAATTTCCTTCTCACTACAATATAAGGCTTTTTTTTGTGCAGGGGTATCATGACCAAGTTTACACTTGGCTGAATAACGTTATACAGACTGACATGGCTTTGGACGCGGGAACTATTTTTGACTTGATTCGCTGGGTACGTCAATACTATCTTAAAATCGTAAGTGATATGCATGTATCGCAAGACTTACTGGAACCGCAACTCTTAGACGGCAGGGAACAAGAATTGATTGATTATTTCCTATCAATTATGCGCAACAAGTTCCAAGAATGGAAGAATAATTTAATTGGAAGTGATATTAAAGAATTTATTGAACGTCCTTACGAATTAGATGCCAATAAAGTGACTGGCCTGTCTGGTACACCTGTGCTGATCAGTATGATTAATCAACAAATAGATTTAGCCATTATGTCTATTCATGAAAAAATTTTGGTTGACGTGATTAAGGAATGTTGTAAAGTTATGACAGACATACAACAAACTTGGATAATCACACTAGAATCAGAAGTTCGCTTATATATAGAAGAAAGAGGTGAACCACGTCTTTTAGAATATATTGTCGCACTGGCTAATGATGAATGTCTTTGTGCTGATCATATTGAAAATCTTAAGACACGGTTAGCGCCATTATTTAAATCTAACGAACATTGGGATTCCGTTAATGCTGAACTTTGTTATGTGAGAGATGGATTCTTATATGTCGTTACAAATGCCATCAGTACAGCTTCATGCATAATATTCAATGATCTTAAAAAACCATTTCGTGAAATACATGCTTCACAGTGGTACAAGACGGACCCTATGGGCGTCATTGTCGTAACGATAGAAGATTATCTGAAACATATTAAATTATGCTTGAATTCACGTTTATTTGTCATGATGGTTGTTACTATGATTCAAAAATTTGTAATAGCATATATAGAATCAATGCGTAACAAAAGTGCCAAATATCGTACGCCACAATGCTTGGATCATATGCGAAGAGACATTCGCGTAGCAGAAAACTTCTTTACCCAGTATGTTAAACAAGATGAAATTCATCGACAGTTTGACCCAATTCATAAACTTCATAATTTTTTGAATACCTCACGTGAGATGGTACATATAGATTATTCCGTATTGAAAACATCATATGGAGATATACCTCGAAAATTTCTAAAAAATATCTTGTCAAGAAGATACGATCTTATAACTTCCAGAAGTATAAATAAAATAATTAAATCTAAAGAAATTGAATATGGTGAATATACAGGCGAACCAACAATATTTAATATGATCAAAATTGAGGATGAAGATGTGTCTGGAGAACAATTTAAAGGAGAATTGGATCGGTTCAAGGGAGAAGTCCAACAATTAACTAACGGGTTTAAAGACCTGTACTATAAATGCAAAATTAAACTGCATAGACCGGAATCGTACCAATTATACTAACCATCAATTTTTGTTAGGTATTTCCATCAGAACACTTGTATTATTTGTTTCGTTGAACAATTCTTATAATAGACAATATATATACTGTTTTTTGTATCAACCACTATTTAATTTATAATAATAAATCAAAGAATCCAATTTGCGAATGAATGTAAAAATGATGTATTCATCTCTCGTGAGGTATTCAAAAAATTATGAAGTTTATGAATTGGGTCAAACTGTCGATGAATTTCATCTTGTTTAACATA